GGTGCCACTGAGCTAAATCTCTGGCCCTGTAACCATATGAACTTCTCATTAAAATGGTCAAGCATTTCTTTCTGAAGCATCCTTGAAGTTATAAAAAATCTCTTGTAAATTAACCTATATTGACTGAATTAAAAAATAATAGTGGCACTTTAGATAAGACATTTATTCTGCTGCATATTTTAAGTACCTAAGGAAAACAGCCAGATCAATAGATTACTGGAAAGAGTAAAAAGCACAGCTTTAAGGAGTGAGTCGTTTGGGGTCACGAGGGAACATTGAGGTCTGACGCACATTATGCAATCCCAAAAACAGCATAGTCACTCGTTCCAACCCTGGGAAAACAAATATGGTCATTAATTCCTTTTCTGAAAAACTCTCCGTATCTTAGAACTTCTAATATTATATCATTGTTCAACAAAATAATTTTCCTGGTTAGAAAGAAAATAGCTTTTATTATTTTGTATTTGTCTAAGAAATGCTGCTAAATGTGGGAAGGACTAAATGAGATATTATTAAGTGGCATGAGGCTGAAATGTGAACTACAACAACCTATATAAATGAACAAAACAATAAAATGATCTAAACGATAAAAAAACCCACTATATAAGCTTCCATGTTCAAATGACACAAGATTCAGACTACATAATCCAGACAATGACTATGAGAGCTATAAATTTGTTCAATAAAGTTTATCAATAGCCACTATGTGTAGCTCCAATTTTCACCTGCAGATGTCTTTTATTAAAAAATAGCAATAGAAATTTTCTCTTAGTCAGGTATGGTAGTGCATGCCTATAATTCCAGCACTCTGGGAGGCTGAGGGAGGAAGATTCCAAGTTCAAATTCAGCCTGGGCAACTTGGTGACTTAAGTTTGAGTCTTGGTCTCAAAATAAAATATAGGCCTGTGATTTAGCTCAGTGGTGCTGTGCCTGCCTCACAGCGCAAGGTCCTGAGTTCAATTCCCGGTACCAAACAACAACAAAAAATACACATTACTGAATACTCTGAGAGAAAATCGCCCTAAACTTCCCATTAAAATTTAAACTATATATTAATGTAGCACTGTTGTAATAAGAAAAGGCTGGTAATGGCCTACAAGTCCACGGATATGAAGCTGATTAACAAGACTTTTGTATCCTTTCAATGAACTCTACATAGATTTTAAAAGAATGAAGATTTTTTTGATAGTGAAAAAGTTACAAAATATATTTCATAAAAACACAAGGTACTGAATGGTTTACATCACATGCTATATATTCATGTAAAAATATTTTCTGAAAATTTTCTTTTATATATGCAAACATCATCTTTGCAAAGATAAGCTAAAAATCAGAAACAAGGGTTTTCTGTGGCAAGATAAATACAAACTGTTCAGCGTCTTCTTTTCTTTTCAAGTTTTGAGATAAGGTCTCACTGTGTATAGTCTAGGCTAGCCTCAAACTTGCAATCCTCCCACCTCAGCCTCCCTAATAAATGGGATTAAAAGTATGTGCCATGCCTTTTTTCCTTCAATTTTTTTTATTGTTAAAATGCACATAACATAAAATACACCATCTTAGTAATTTTTAAGTGTACAGTTCAGTGGCATTAAATATACTTAATGTTGTGAAACATCACCACCTTCCATCTTTATAACTTTAAAAAAATTATTCTTTTTTTGAAGGGGGGGGGCAAGTCTAGGCTAGGCTGGCCTTGAACTCAAGATCCTACTTCTCCTGAACGCTGAGATTACAGGCATGAACCACCACACTTGGGAAAACCTAGCATCTTTACTAGTGTTGTTTAGTTATTCATATATATATTTCCAACTTTACTGAGGTATAACTGATAAAAATTGACATATTTAGTGTACAATGTGATATTTTTACATATACCATACACTGGGAAACAATTAAAGCTAAAAAAACCTATAATCTTACATACTTATTTTTTCGTGGTGAGAATATTTAAAATCTATCAGCAATTTTCAAGTATGTACTACATTTCTTTTGGTACCGGGGATCAAACTCGGGACCTTGTGCTTGCAAGGCAGGCAGCGGAGCCACTGAGCTAAATCCCCGGCCCTCTATTACATTTTTACTAACAGTACTCATCATGCTGTATAATACCTCTCCAGAACCTACTCTTAACTGAAACTCTGTATCCCTTGGACATCTCCGCATTCTGTCCTCCCCATCTCCAGCCCCTGACACCAACCATTCTACTCTTTGCTTCTAGGAGTTCAAAATTTTACATACCACACATAAGTGAGATCATGCAGTACTTTTTTTTTTTCTGTGCCTGGCTTAATTTGCTTAGGATAATGTACTAGATTAATCCATGTTGCTATAAATGACAGGATTTCCTTTTTTTGTAAGACTGAATACTACTTATCTATTACGTATATCTATATTCCTGGATCTAGGTATCTAATACATCCATCTGTATACCTATCTACCTACCTCACATTTTTTTTTTTTTGGTACTAGGGATCGAACTCAGGTCCTTGCGCTTGCGGCAAAACCACTGAGCTAAATCCTTGGCCCTACCTCACATTTTCTTTATCCATTCATCTGTCAACAGACTCTTAGACAGATAACATATCTTGGCTATTGTGGGTTTTTTTTTGTACCGAATAAAACTCAGGACCTCACGCTTGCCAGGTAGGTGCTATGCTGCTGAGCTAAATCTCTGGCCCTCGGCTATTGTGAATAATGCTGTGATGAACACAGGAGTGCAGATGTCTCTTCAACATACTTATTTCATTTCCTTTGGATATCTGTAGCCAGCAGCAGGACTGCTGGACTATAGTATATGGTAGTTCTATCTTTAATTTTTAAAATACTATACCAATACACCCACCCATCAACTGTATACAAAGGTGCCCTTTTCTCCACATCGTCAGTACTTTTATAATTTTTGTGGTGTTGGGGGTCCAACCCAGGGGCTTATGTATATTAGGCAAGTGTCTATCACTGGGCTACATCCCCAGCCTATGAATATCTATGGTTTGCTTTTTTTGATGATAGACATTGTAGTAGTTGTGAGGAGATTATCTCATTGTGATTTTAATTTGCACTTCCTACATGATTAGTTAAGTATTTTTCATACAGTATCTGTTTGGCCATTTGTATGTCTTCTTTTGAGAAATATCTATTTGGGTCCTCTGCCTACTTAGTTGGGTTATTTCCTTGCTACAGAGTTGTTTAGGTTCCTTTTATATTTTGGATATTAGCACCTTACCAGATGTACGGCTTGCAAATTCTCTTCACTGTGTTGGTTTCTTTGTTAAACAAAAGCTTCTTAGTTTGATTCTGTCTCATCGCCTATTTTTGCTTTTGTTGCCTTGGCTTTTGCTCAAAGAGATGTCAAGGAGCTTTTTCCTGATATTTTCTTCTAGCAGTTTTATAGTTTTAGCTCTAATGTGTAAATATTTGATTCACTTTAAGTTGATTTATGTTATGAAATAAGGATTGAATTTCATTCTTTTGTGCTTTGTTTTTTTTTTGTTTGTTTTTTTTTGGTACTGGGGATCAAACTTGGGAACTTGTGCTTGTGAGGCAGGCACCAGAATCACTGAGGTAAATCCCCAGCCCCATTCTTCTGTGCTTTGATTTCCAGTTTTTCCAACACCATTTATTGAAGAGATTGTCTTTTCCCAATTGTGTGTTGAAAGTCAATTGAATGTAAATAGAACAGATTCATTTTTGGGCTCTAGTCTGTTTCATTGGATTGATCCTAGGGCCTTGCTAATGCTAGATAAGTGTTTTATCATACCACTGAGCTACATCTCTATCTTTAATTTTTAAATTTTTTGGGGGGTACCGGAAATCGAACTCGGGTCCTTGCGCTTGCGTAGCAGGCAGTGAAACTGCTGAGCTAAATCCCCGGCCCTCCTTTTTAAATTTTTTTTATTTTATTTTTTGCTACCGGGGATCAAACTCAGGTCCTTGCGCTTGTGGAGCAGGCAGTGAAATCACTGAGCTAAATCCCCGGCCCTGTTTTTATTTTTATTTATTTAAAAAATTTTTTTTTGGTACCAGGGATTGAACTCGGGACCTTGTGCTTTCGAGGCAGGCGCCAGAACCACTGAACTAAATCCCCGGCATGCATAAATATTTTTTGAGACTCCATTTTCAGTTGTTTTGGGTATATTCACAGAAGTGGAAATTGTGGATCATATGGTAATTATGTTTTTAATTTTTTGAAGAACCACCATTCTGTTTTCCATAGAGACTCTGCCAATTCACATTTCTACCAAAAATATAAAAGAGTTCTAGTATGTCTGCGTTATTGGCAATACTTATTCACTTTTTATTTTTTTAATTTAAAAAATTTTTTTATTCTTTTTGGTACTGGGGATAGAATTCGGGTCCTTGCACTTGCACAGCAGGTGGTGAAACCACTGAGCTAAATCCCCGGCTCACTTATTCACTTTAAAAAAAAATAGTAACTATCCTAATGGGTGTGAAGTAGTATGTTACTGTAGTTTTTATTTGTATTTCCCTAATAACTGAAGATGTTGAACATCTTTCCATGTGCTTATTGACCCATCTGGGAGAAATATCTATTCAGGCCCTGAGTTGTTTGGGTTTTTAAAATTGTGGAGTTTTAGTGGATCTCTATATATACTCAGGACAGCCATCTCTTATGACATATGAGTTGCAAACACCTGCTTTTATTATGTGGGTTGCCTTTTTATTTTATTGATAATTATCTCTTTTTCTCCCTTTTCCTTTTTTTCAGTGCTGGGGAAGAATCCTAGCACTGTCCCACTGAGCTACATTCCTGGCCCAATAACAGTCTTTGCTTCTGGATATGAGATATCACTATGTTGCCCAAATTGGCCTCAAATTCATTATCTTCTTGCCTCTGTCTACCAAGAAGCTGGGATGACAGGTAATGTCCCGCAGTGGCTGGCTTCTTAGTTTTTTGGAGGGGGGGTGGTGGTGGTGGGACTAAGACCCAGAGCCTTGTGCATAACTAACTGTCTTTTGATGCCCAACACTGTAAAATTTTTAGAAGTCCAATTCAGCTACTTTTAATTATTTTGTCTGTGTCTTTCATGTCATGTCCAAGAAATCATTGGCAAATCTAATGCCATGACAATTTTGCCCTGAGAGCTTCTTCTAAGTCCTAAGTCAGTAAAATGTTATACTTTAATAAACAAATTAGGCTAATTTTGAGGCACAACTTTAATTTGGGTTAATCTGAGTGTACTCATGGCTGGAGAGAGAACAGAAGATACTCAACTTTTAAATCTCTAGTTTTTAATCTCTAGTTAATCTCTCTTTTTTAATCTCTAGTTTTAGCAAAAATGTTTGAAGTTGAAATGTAACTGATTTCTTTTTAATTAAATCTGTCACAAAGTATTCTAAACAAAAATGTCATAATTTCATGTTACTATTATTCCTTCCCTTTCAAATATATTTTTCATTTGGAAACTACCAAGCTTTATAAACTAAAATTTTTTTTTAATTATTGGGAAAATCCTGGGTTTTTTGAAGATTAATATTATAAATGATATCAGTCTTTCTCAAAGTACTCTACAGATTTAACATAGTTTCTGTAAAACTGAAAAGATTTTTTTGGATATTTAGAAAAATAGTTTATATAATACATTGAAAGACTAGATGACCTAGAATAATGAAGGAAAAAAATAAAAATCAAAACTGTTTATTACAGCATAATTTATGATAGAGAAGAAATTGGAAAGAGATTACATGTCCAAAAGAGTACAGAAATAAATGAATATTTGAGCATGATTGAATAGTAACCAGCTTCCAAAAACTAGATACTGGGGGCCAGGGATTTAGCTCAGTGGTTCCGGCACCTGCCTCCAAAGAGCAAGGTTCTGAGTTTGATCTCTGGTACAAAAAAAAAAAGGCTTGGGCCGGGGATTTAGCTCAGTGGTTCTGGCACCTGCCTCACAAGTGTAAGGTCCCGAGTTTGATCCCTGGTACCAAAAAAAAAAAAAAAAGTCTTCTAAACTATTAAGAGAAAAAATAAGAACCTTATCAGAAAAACAAACATATAAATATTTCTGTAGGGCTGGGGATTGAACCCAGAGCTTCATGCATATGCCACATAAGTGCTCTAATGCTGAGCTTTACCTTTAGTTCTATAGTAATATTTTAGAACATACAAATTAGCTATTCATTTTGTACTTTGGAAATTGTATTTTCACTCAGTCATAATTCATTTTAAAAACTCTCTTTTTTTGGTAGGTACCGTGAATCAAACTCAGGACTTTGTGCTTGCCAGGGTGGTGCAGTGCCACTGATCTAAATCCTTGGCCGGCCACTTTAAAAATTCTTATGATTGGGCCGGGGATTTACCTCAGTGGTTCTAAGACCTGCCTCACAAGTGCAAGGTCCTGAGTTCGATCTCCAGTACCAAAAAAAAAAATTCTTATGATTCAAATTTGCATTACACTTGGCACTTGTAGACTTATTTGTAAGCAATAACAGAATATTACCAATGCCTCCACCAGCATGCGGAGGGGCTCCAAAGCGGAAGGAATCGATATAAGCCTTAATTTTCTCCAAATCTACAAGAACAACAACAAAAAACATTTTATCATCTTATTTAAGCTTAAAATCAAAACCCACAAAAGCTACTAGTATTCAAAGAAGATTAAAAAAACCAAAAAAGCTGAGAAATCTTTAACACATTTACAATGTATTATTTTCAGAATATACATTTTCCTAAATATGTATTTATTTACCAATTCCATGATGTAAGGCTCTTTCTGTTAGCAACTGAGGATCATGTATTCTTTGAGCTCCTGATAATATTTCTTCTCCTCTCATGAACATATCATAAGAGTTAGACTGTTTCTGCAGGAAAAACAAAACAAAAACACCACTTTTCAATTGCTATCATCCTTTCTCCATTATTAAAATATGTGAAAAAAAATCTATACTGCATGAAAAGCAAGTCTATGTTTTCCTACAATGCAACATGTACATATGTATATATGCATGTATGTGGTGGGAGGGGACTAAACCCAGGGCCTGTAGACTAAGCTACATCCCCAGACATTTTTATTTTTTATTTTTTGGTACTGGGGATCGAACTTGGGTCCTTGCATTTGCAAGGCAGGCGGCAGAACCACTGAGCTAAATCCCCGGCCCCATTTTTATTTTTTATTTTGAGCCTGGGAGGATCTCTCTAACTCGCCCAGGTGGAACCTGGCATGTGGCACTATATCCCACTTAACACAACCTTCTTTAAAGAACATAATTTGTTTCTCTAAAGTAGAACTACTGAGAGTTGAGTAATTTCTTCTTGCCTGTATCAGATTTTGTGATCTCTTCCTTCCATATTTCCCAGTAACAACTTAGAACACTACACCCAGAGTTAAGAAGTGCTGAGTTTTATTTCACTTTATTATCTGAAATGTTTTAAGGTATAATATGATTTTAGTTACTTTTGAAACTAAAATTATCAACACTTATTCTGTATTTTTAAATTAAAAAATTTCTCTTAGTTTTAGGAAAGTAAACTGGAAACCAATTTACCAATTCTTAACCCTTCTGATAACATAAGTTTTAACTTACTTCCCTCAGCCTTTCAAAAAACAGTAATTCTCTCCTAGACCAGTAGTCTTAGTATTACCTGGGAATTTGCTAGAAATACAGATTATCAGGCTCCACCCAAGACCAAGTACATAATCAGAAACTCTTTGGCTGGGGCTTCCCAGTCTGTGTTTTAAAATGCCCCACAGGTGATTCTAATGTACGTTAAAAGTATGGAAACCACTGCAAAGGAAAAACAGTAAAAAATTCTAAGACATTATTTAGATGATTAACTCCTAAAATACAATGTGAATTTCCAGTTCAAGGTTACTAAAATTATTTGTTAAAGTTTGCAAATCTAGTAACACACATTCTTTCTTTCTTCTGAATCTTCAGAAAAATGACCCAGGAAAATGACATTCAGTATAGGTTTTTAGGACTAATTTGCTAAATATTCAAACTTCACAATATCATTTTGACTTGTAGTGGCAGATACCAGGAGTACTATGTGTAACAAAGTGTCTACTGAAATTGTAAATTATTAATGACAATCATTACTCCCACTATACAATTTGACATAATGACAATAGTTTTCCTTCTTCCCCCAAACATGTTATTTAAAACCAAAGTACTTACAGGATTTCTTGGGTCAGGCATAGTATAGAAAGGTCTTACAGCCAACGGATATTTATCAAGAATATAAAAATCTGTATCATACTATAAAAAGAATAAATGCAATTAAAACTTTATTATTTTTTTTTGGTACCGGGGATCGAACTCAGGACCTCGCGCTTGCAAGGCAGATGGCGGAACCACTGAGCTAAATCCCCGGTCCAATTAAAACATTTTTGAAAAAAAAAAATTGTTTTTTGAAAATAAAAAGGTTAATTTTTAAAGTAACTTTAAAATACATAAATCTTTGTTCTGCAAAATTACTATATTATATACAATGAATATAAACTGCTTTTTTCAAGTAACATGTATATCTTACAGCATTTTGTCATGATGTTACAAATTCTTCCAGTATCTAGTTTTTTTTTTTTTGGTACTGAAGATCAAACTCTGGACCTTGTACTTGCAAGGCAGGCAACGGAACCACTGAGCTAAATCCCTGGCCCCCAGGATCTAGTTTTTGGAAGCTGTTTACTACTCAATTATGCTCAAATATTCATTTATTTCTGTACTCTTTTGGACATGTAATCTCCTTCCAATTTCTTCTCTATCATAAATTATGCTGTAATAAACAGTTTCAATTTTTATTTTTTCCTTTATTATACTAGGTCATCTAGTCTTTCAATGTATTATATAAACTATTTTTCTAAATATCCAAAAAATTTTTCAGTTTTACAGAAACTATGTTAAATCCATAGAATACTTTGAGAAAGACTGGTATCGTTTATAATATTAATCTTCAAAAAATCCAGGATTTTCCCAATAATTAAAAAAATTTTTTAGTTTATAAAGCTTGGTAGTTTCCAAATGAAAAATATTTGAAAAGGAAGGAATAATAGTAACACGAAATTATGACATTTTTGTTAGAATACTTTGTGAAGCTCTGCTGACTCAGCATCTTAAAGGTGTAACTTCAACACATTATTGTATGGTTTCAGAAATGAACTCTAGTGAATTTAACCATTTCAAGTGCAACCAGCAGGAAGAGCTGAAGGACGTTTTCATTTTATAACATTGTCTTAATTTAGATACCAAGTTTAAATTTTATCTTCTTCGGTATTTTAGTAAAATAGTTGAAAGGATGCTCATTCATTTTCAAGTCTCATGAGACAGCAAGGGTACTCAGGGAGGACATTCTAAAAATAATTACAAATATTGGGCCAGGGATTTAGCTCAATGGCACCGTGCCTGCCTCTCAAGTGCAAGGTCCTGAGTTTGATCTCTGTCCCGTAAGAAAAAAAAAAATTACAAATAATCTCAGGTTTTTTCTACCTAACCTGACAATTTGAAATTCGTATCACTTTTACAGACACTGCAATATAACTTAGTAAAAATATAAAACACTGAGCCAATCAAACTGGGCAGAGCCTGTCTAAATATTTTTTCATTTTTCTGAAAGTTAAAAAAAAAAAATCTTTTTATTTATTCTGGAAGATTCCTAGAGTCCTCTGCAATTTTTCTACCAGTGTATACTTCAGATACAGAGAAAGAAATCCATTATATATAAAATAGTCCTACCTTTTCCTTTACCAAACGACCCAACAGTTTTTCATTTGGTGTACTGAAAAAGAAACACGAAGTCAGGTGTTTGAAGATCAAGCAACTACTGAAAAGTGTTAATAAAGCACACCTACTATTCTTCTTTTGTTTGTTTTGAGACAGGTTCTTGCTGTGTAGAACAGGTTGGCCTTGAACTCAGGGCACTCCTCCTGCTTCAGCCTCTGGGATGCTAGGATTACAGGCATGTACCACCATGCCTGGCTACCTCTACTATTTGAAATTCAAAAAAGATAAAAAATTTGGCTCCAAACTGGAGTCACACGTGCCTATAATCCCAATACTCAGGTGACCAAGGCAGAAGGATTCAGAGTTGAGGCTATCTTGGACTAGAGAGTGAGACCTTATCTTAAAAAAAAAGTCAAAAGATATATAGTAGTTGTCTCTTCTGCTCCTTTTTCAAAAGGAAAGTACTAGCTGGGCATGGTGATGCATACCTGTAATCCTAGCACTCTGAGAAGATGAAGCAGGAGGATCAATTGCAAATCCTGGGCAATTTAGCAAGACCCTGTCTCAAAATAAAATATAAAAAATGGCAGAGGACATAGGGTGTGAAGGCCCTGGGTTCAATCCCAGTACAGGGGGAAAAAAAAGACAAGTAGTAGAGAAAACCACTTATGAGTGAAGCTGCTACGATGAGCACTTACATGAACTGCTCCAATATTTAATTAAAACCAAACAGAATTTAGTGATTCATTGATTCAGAAATATCATGGATGAAATAATTCCCTACAATTACTTTTTTTTTTTTTTGGTACCGGGGATTGAACTCAGGACCTTGCGCTTGGAAAGCAGATGGGGGCACCACTGAGCTAAATCCCTGGCCCTCCTACAATTACTTTTTTTAATTTGTTTGTTTTGTTTTTTTTTGGTACTGGGGATCAAACTCAGGACCTTGTGCTTTCCAGGCCATTGGAGGCACCACAGAGCTAAATCCCTTCTTTTTTTTTTTGGTACCGGGATTGGGACCTTGAGCTTGCACAGCAGGCACTGGAATCACTGAGCTAAATCCCTGGCCCTACAATTACTTTTAATAAAAGTTCATTAGGCCAACATGGGCTAGTCTTGCCATTAAACAGTCCCCATCCTGTACTTTTTATTAAAGGTTTGTAATACAAAAATCAGTATTTCTAAGTTTTTAAAATGCAATGGTGTTTACACAGTTATGTTAAATTTCTTTAACCTCTATTTTATACATGAACAATTTCCAAAATACTTCAGAAAATATTGCCCATAGTCGGGTGTGGTGGTGCACGCCTGTAATCCCAGTACTCAGGAGGGTGAGGCAGGAGGATCACCACAAATTCAAGGCCAGCCTGGGCTACACAGTGAGTTCAAGGATAGTCTAAACTACAGAGCAATACCCGTCTCAAAACAACAACAAAAACCAAAACTGCCCAATTTAAAGTAATTATAAAAGTGATAGTTTGCCTTAAAATGTCACCTAACAATGTAGGAGATGCACCAAAAAAAATCACATTTTTTTCCTTAACAAATAAATAATGAGTCTTGATAAGTAGATATATCTATCCTAAAAAATGAGCTAGGTATGCTGGCACATGCCTGTAATCCCAGCACTATGGAAGGCTGAGGCAGGTGGGTCACAAATTGGAGCCCAACCTGATCATTTCAGCAATACAGTGTCAAAATGAAACAAAAACAAACAACAACCAAAAAAAAGAAAAAGAAAAAGGAGGCTGGGGATGTAGCTCAGTGCAAAGTCCCTGAGTTTAATCCCTAGTGCTACAAACAAAACAAAACCAAAAACCAAAAACCAAAGAAACTCTTTAAAAGTAATTATTTCCTTTCCCTCCCATATGCATGTTTATTGTTTGATGACTTAACCCATTGATAATTTTTAGTATTTATTAGGCCACATAATTTGTATCAAAATTCTAAATTGTATGATCTGGATTTAAACAACATAATATTACATATCAAATCATTGTTATGTTCTAATCTTAAGTGGAGAAAGATTTAGACTGTATTCTACCTTCTCTAAATCACTGATTTAAAGAGAAGTAATATATCAGAAGATAAAAATCACAGGCAAAACTCCTTATACTCTTTAAGGGTCCTAAGTAAGGGGGGCAAAAAATGGAAAAATAGTTTTTACAAATTAAATTATGAAAGTTCAGACAAGCCATATTTTTACTTCAGATCATACCTGACATAAAACAGCATCATATTATATGCCAAAGTTAGTAACATTTATGTTAGGTTAAAAAAATTATATTAATATATCCCTTATCTTAACCCCAATTATTAAAGTTTAAAAAAATCAGAGACAAACCTCAGATCTTCTTCATCTCCCATTTCAACTCCAGCTTCTCTAAGCATAGCCAATGCTTCACAATATTCTAGTCTTAAAGTTGGCTCCAAAAACTTGAATGGTTCACATGGAAATTGTTTATTCACTGTTTGAATTTCAGTCTGAAATCTGTATATATAAGATTTAATAAAATGTGTGAGATAAATGCTTCTTCCACAAGAGGTCACTGTGGCAATACACAAAATCATTCCTTGAATAAGTGTATGTACCAGGAAAAACATTAGCTAAGAATAAAATTTGAATACTTAAAAGTACAGTACTTAATACATTTCTTAGTTTCAGATTTTTGTAATCTCTATAATTCACATTGGCTAACATTGTTAGAGTATCCATTTTATGAAGCATTTAAAAAAATCTTAATACATTTGTTAACCTCAAAGAAGACCAAATTAATATTTGTCATATCTTTCCCCCATTGTCATTATATTGTAAGTTCATTTGAGGAAGTACCAATCACTTTCCTGTTTTTGGAATCCCTACAGAATAATGTCCACCTTATACATTTTTTTTTTTTTTTTTGCAGTACCAGGGATAGAATTCTTGACCTTACTCTTACAAGGCAGGCGTGGTGCCACTGAGCTAAATCCCCGGCCCCACCTTATACATAATAGGCCGAAAATAAATGTTAACTAGAGTAAACTAAATTTCTACTATAGATGTTATTTTATTAAGACTAAAAACTCTCATACTTTTCTAAAGTATTTGTGGATGAATGATAATGGGAATTGCTTCTAAATAATAGGTGGGGGAAACAGGTACAACAAAATTGGTTAAGCGTTGACAATGTTGAAACCAGTGACGAGTTCATGGAGGTTCATTAGGTTAATGTTAATACTTCTTTGGGCTTTAGAATGTTCCATGATTCACACTTATTAAAAGCATGTTTATATTCTATATACAGAATTCTTTACCTAGAATTATTTTTATGTAATAAAAAATCTTTTTTATGAGTACATGTATGCAATACATAATGATTACATTTATCATGGAGAGCCCCTCCCCTGTTCCCTTTGCAATCTGAACATTTTTTTCCTACTTCCCTCTTCCATTTTGGTCCTCATTTGTGCTTCTGGTTTCTCACATAAGAGAAACAATGTGATATTTAAACATGTGTGTCTGATTTATTTCACTTCAAAGTATGGTCTCAAGGTGCATCCATTTACCTAAAAATGTCTTATCCCTCTTCATGACAGAGTAGTACTCCACTGTATATAGAAACCACATTTTTTTAATGCATTCATCTGGTTTTTTTTTTTTTTTTTAGTACCGGTGATCGAAATTGGGTCCTTGTGCTTGTGAGGCAGGCGCCGGAACCACTGAGCTAAATCCCCAGCCCATTCATTCGTCTGTTGATGGGCATCTGAGCTGTTTCCAAGATTTAGCTATGATAAATTATGATGCTATAAACATGGCTGTGCATATATTGCTGTGGTATAACATTTTTAACCCTTTTGGGAAGATACCAAGAAGGGGAACAGCTGGGTCAAATGGAACTTTTAGTTTCGGTTTTTTGAGGAACTCCATACTAATTTCCACATTGATCGCACCAATTTACACTCCCACCAACAGTGGAGAAGGGTTCCTTTTTCTCCACAGCCCCACCAGTATTTGTTGCTGCTTGATTTCTTGATAGCCATTCATTCTAGAGTGAGATGGAATCTCAGTGTGGTTTTAATTTGCATCTCTCAAATGACCAGTGATGTTGAACATTTTTTCATGTATTTATGTGCTGTTTGTACTTCTTCACCTGGAAGTGTTTATTCATTTCAGATGCCCATTTTTGGACTGGGTCTTTAAATCTGGGGGGCATCTGATTTTTTTTGAGGGTTTTTCTTTTCTTTTTTTTTTTTTGAGTCAGGGTCTTGCAATGTATGTAGTTCAGGCTGGGCATGAACTCACTGTGTAGCCCAGGCTGGCCTCAAACTTGTGGATCCTCCTGCCTCAGCATCCCGAGTGCTGGGATTACAGGCATGTGCCACCATGTCTGGCTTTGAGTTCTTTATATAGAATTTATATTCTAGAATTCTCCACTTAGGATCTATATTTTAGAAATTAAAACATTACTTCTTGGTGTTAAAGACAGTCATGGGAATAATAAAGCTTAGCCATTGATTTAGTCAAATCTTGATCTGAAGGGTTAGAGAGACCCTATTAATTGATTTTTCAAATGGCTTTTCTTTGCTGTAAATATTAATCCTCATTCATGTCTATCAATGGTAGTATGAAAATATAACTATCAATACTTTCAAGCTTATTTGCATGTAATTCTTCCGTGAGACTAAAAACTAGTAATAAACAAGAGGGACATGACCTAGCCTCATAACCCAATTCACAAATGATACAAAAACTTAAAATTCCTAAATTTCTAAATGACTTAAAGAATATAAAAGTAGATCTTTATTTTCAAATCATCACTGTTAATTTACTGAAAAATTTTAGCAGTGATGGTGTCCAAGCAGAGATTTGATTAATTCAAATGACCTGATTCATGCTTGGTCTGTTATTTAGAACCAAAGTAAAAATTTAAAATACTCGTATTAAATAGAAAAGCTATCAATACCTAAAATAAATGGGTTTCAAAAACTGTCTTAAAGATACCAAGCAATAATGCAGAAAATGCCTAGAAAATATTGGTGCTTATACCACAGTATTTTTATATAAGATCAATGATAACTTGTGCATTCTTTTTTTTTTTGTTTGGTACTGGGGATTGAACTCAGGGTCTTAGTACTGAGCTACATGCTCAGCCCTTTTTATTTTTATTTTTTGTAATAGAATCTCACTAAGTTGCTCAGGTTGGGCTCAAACTTGCAATCCTTTTGCCTCAGCCTTCTACAGTTGGGATTTTGAGCATGCACCACTGTGTCCAGCTAATTTCTGCCTTCCTGAATGGATTAATTAGCCTCGGAATAGAATAAGTAAAACTTGTATTTGTAAACTTTTAAAATATCAATGCAGCATATCAAATATATCAATGATGAACTGTTAAATCAGTGGTTTTAAAATAAAAAAATCTTTATAAATTATAAAAATGCTAGGTAAATGTTACAGCCAATTTAATACTTGAAGTACAGTCAAAAGGTTAGAAAAAGGAAAAGAGAGACTGTCTTAGTTTCCATTTTTGATTTTTTGGTGCTTGAGATGGAAACCAGTGCCTAGAGACCACTGGACAAGTGCTCTACCCCTGAACTGCATCTCCAATCTCAGAGAGATTCTCTTTATCAACTTGACCTAATTTCTATTTTCTTTTCCTATTTTTCTCCATGTTAAACATTATTACAAATACACAACTTTCAATGACCTTTAAGGAAAAGACTATTTGCAGTTTAGAGAGCATAAAGTGGATATTTTACATAACTCAATTTTCTGAAGTCCCAGAACACATCTAATATTTCTGTAAATGTTAACTCACCGACCCAAACTGGTCAAAAGACCCTTTTATCTATTAGTTTCTAATCTTTACTGAGCACTCAATAAATTTAAAATTTAACCATTCTTGACATGGGCTTAATTTGCATGTGGACAGATTTAGTAGTTTCAAAATTGGTAGACTGAAGGGCTATTTTACCTTTGAAGTGAGTAATATTGTTTCCACTTAACAGCTGAGGAAAGTGAGGCACAGAGGTAACAACTTGTATAAGGCCCACATAGCAGAGCTGGAATTTGAACTCAGGTTCAAATCTATACAGTGGTACCTTGGTTCACGAATGCTTTTGTTTACAAACAATTTGGTTCACAAACACAAGTGTTTGGCAAAATTTTGTTTTTGTTTGTAAACTCTGCATCGGGTGACAAATGCGACTGTGGCCATCTTTCTCACACAATCACATATGTGGCCATCTTTTCCAAAATTGTAGAACAAATTAAGTTTGTGAGCTGAGGTACCACTGTGTATAGCTGAACTTGAGCACTTAACTATTTCATACCACCTCCCAAATATGAAACTGCTGTAAGGGCCAGGATTTAGCTCATTGGTGCCACACCTGCCTTGCAAGGTCCTAAGTTTGATCCCAGGTATGGAGAAAAAAACCCAAAAAAACAAAAACAAAAAAGTGCTGTAAAAGTAACACAGGCTCTATTTCTTCAGACACTCAGGATACCCATATAAAGGAAAAAATAAATATAATTCAGCTGTTCACAAACCGGTAAACTTTTATCACCAAAAAGGCTAACAAGTTGCGGCTTAGATCCAGAAACATTACTGTGTGGAGTTTCCAACTACAGTCATTTGTCACTTAAGGACAGGGCTACAATCTATGATTGTGTCACTGTGTGAATGTAATAGAGTGTACCTCCACAAACTAAATGACTATGAGGTCACTGGGTGATATAATCTTGGGACCGCAGTGGTACATGTGATCCCCTCTTGATTGACACATCCTCAAATAGCACATGACTGTATTTAAATTGATTATTTGTCAATTATGCCTGAAATTTAATTTATATCTTTCAAGTCCAACTTATTATTTTTTTTACAGCAATTTAAAGCCATTTGGGATATAAAATACTTTTTAACCTTTCTTGAAGTCCTTTGAATATTTGTACCAAGGTGTCAGCAATTTCTTCCAAAACTTCATGGTAGTGATAATTAAAAGCCATTTCAATGTCCAAACCAACAAATTCAGTTAGATGTCTGTGGGTATTGGAGTCTTCAGCTCTGAAAACTATGAAATTAATAAAAGAGATAAAAACAGTGCGTTACATTTTAGGTAAACTGGGATTTAGATACAAAATTTGGTTGAATAATGCTCAAGTACTATTTTCATATCACTACAGTGACGGAAGGACTTCTGATAAACCATCTGTTTCAGCAATCTCTGGGACAGCAAATCCATTACAAACTCCTACAGTTGCACAGTAAAAGCTGTACTAAATGTAAATTAATAAAAGAGGCTCCTGAGAACCCCAAGGGAATACATGATCCTGTGGTATCTTGTCAATAATTAAAAGATTCAATTATGACCAATACAGTAAGTTCTCAATTTTATTAAAACAAGACTGAAGCTAAATGAAACTGTACAAATGAAGTAACATTATCCATATTCTAGCCATTATTTCAATCCAGCTCTCATTACCCTCATTGCATTTTCCTGCTTTCAGTGTTTCTGAGTCTAGCTTGGCTCATCTTTCACATCACTGGCAGATTAACATTTCTATAACACACCCTTGCTCAGTAACTTAAAATGGTTCCCAAATGACTACTGCAGTAAAACATAAAATGACAAAAAAACTAAAACCTTTATGCTTTCACAATTTAACCTTAACCTGCATTTCCCATTTCTCCTTAGTACTATTCTTATTTTTGTTTCCTTCAGTAGTCCATGTTCTTTACTTGCTTCCTCTAAGATGTGAATTCTGTTGTTTACATATCCTGCTCTGTCCTTAAAGGACATTTCGGTTTGAATTTTCTTTTATAGCAACTCTAGCAAATTCATTCTTCTTCTTTTTGCACTCACTATATAATTACCTACCACGTAATTAACACCCATCTGCTAACTATACAGCAAATCTGATTATTCATTTTAAAAATCATTTGATTATTCCTTGTGATTGCTACATGAATATATATCTTAGGCCTGGGAGCAGTGATGTTTACTCCTTTGTCATTCAAAGCTTGATCTGCAAGTCAGCAGCATCAACAGTACCTGGATACTTATAAGAACTGCAGAATCTCGGGCCTCACTCCCAAATCTACTGACTAGAATCTTCCATTTGAAAAGATCCCCAGGTGATTTGTATGCATTAACATTTGAGACATGCTGGTTCTTTTTTATGTACATGGTACCTGCATGGTACCTAGCATAAGACTATATGTGAAACAGGTGTTCAATAAATAACTGGTTAATAAATTCAGAAAATTAAGACAGTGATCTTGCCATTTTTTCTATTAGCAAGTATTTGATTTTTATTAAGGTATCAAAAACATATACAATAATTGGTAAGTTTTAAAGAATTAACTAAAACTTTTTTTGTTTATAATTAACTTCACAAAAATATGCTACACATAATTATGTGGTTGTACTTGACTTTTAGCAAATATATCTTAAAAACTATATTAATATAATCTCTTAAATGTAAAACATTTCCTAGTAATTTGATCAGCATAATACCTACACTAAAGATGGTACAAACGTTAGGGAAACAGAACAGTTCTAGAATAAAATTGTTAGTAAAGCAGACACAAGTACACTGTAAACTTAACAACAGTAGGAGGTTATAAAGAAAACATGATATAATATCTGGAAGAGTGCAACTACCTGCTTTTTAGTACTGATGGGAAGTTGAAAGAACAGTGCAAATGGGAACTAGTTTTATTTCTAATTGCACTTAAAATTTTTCGTCACCATTCTTTTTTTTTTTTTGGTACTGAGATCGAACTCGGGTCCTTGCGCTTGCAAGGCAGGTGGAGGAAACACTGAGCTAAATCCCCGGCCCCAGCATTATCTATTCTTAAGAATGGTGGGCCAGGGATTTAGCTCAGTGGTTTCACTGCCTGCTGTGCAAGTGCAAGGACCCAAGTTCGACCCCTGGCACCAAAAAAAAAAAAAAAAAATAGATCAGTTTCAACAAATTGGGCCGGGGATTTGGCTCAGTGGTTCTGGCGCCTGCCTCTCAAGCACAAGGTCCCAAGTTCGATCCCCGGTACCAGAAAAAAAAGAATGGTGACGAAGGGCCGGGGATTTAGCTCAGTGGTTCTGCTGCCTGCCCTGCAAGCGCAAGGACCTGAGTTTGATCCCTGGTACCAAAAAACCAAAAAAGAATAGATAATGCTTATGGCTGCATTTACACAAGTGATGCTCAAATGTTTAAAAAACTATTGAGTATATATATTTTTAAAAATGTCTACCCAAGTACATTGTCATTTCTACCTCAAAATCTAGTGTTTTTAGGTTCAGCAGATGCAAGAATTTGAGCCTTCAAAATGTCTATACATTATATATGTAAAATGTGTATCTAATACCATAAATACTATACGATTAACGAACTTAGAAAAACTGTGACAAAATCTTACCTGGTCCAATACAGAAAACCTTCTCAAAATCAGCACAAATGCACATTTGCTTATACAGCTGTGGGGACTGAGCTAGGTATGCATTATTCTTAAAATATGACACAGTAAATACATTGGCACCTCCTTCACTGGCAGCTGAAATGTAAATATTTATAGTATTATATTCAATCTTAAGTTCATCAATGTAAGCTTTTGGTAAAAATTTATACTTTGGTTCAACTAATTTATTTAAAGAAAAAAAGAAAAACTGGAAAAACCAAGATTTGTACATAAATCACACTGCAGAGATGTATTTCTACTCTCTGGATATAAATGGCCCCTTTTTGCACCAAGTTCAAATACATTAAAGATACCTTAAAGTTGTAAAAATTTTTAAAAAAGGTATTCTTAATCAGTTTTCTATTTATTGAGACTGTAATGCTTAGTTTGTTATTTGTAACTAAATGCCATTCTCTGCCCCCGCCCCGGTACCAGGGATTGAACTCAGGACTTTCTACTTGCCAGGCAGGCACGGTGCTACTGAGCTACATCCCCGGCCCCTCTAAATGCCATTCTTTTTTTTTTTTTTTTTTTGGTACCGGGGATCGAATTCCGGTCCTTGTGCTTTCGAGGCAGGTGGTGGAACCACTGAGCTAAATCCCTGGCCCTCTAAATGCCATTCTTAATGCATCTTTTTTCAGTGTTACTTAAGCAATTCTAAAAAGGGTAAAATAAATAGGATAAGATTTTCATATAAGAATGAGAATTTAAAAACCCTATCTACATGGGAGGTTGTAGCAGGAGGATTGCAAATTCAAGGACAGCCTGGGCAACTTAATAAAACTCTGTCTCCAAGTAAAATATAAAATATAAAAAGTTCTGGGGAAGTAGCCCAGTGGTAGAGCACTTCTGGGTTCAGTATTGATATGATATACTGCAAAAGAAAAAAAAAGTGTGTGTGGGACCATTACTACTAAGGTGCTTTCCCCACCAGTACATATTGAGTGATTTCACAATGCAGTGTGTACAAAAATTTCAGTATCAATTTTGAAAAACACATAATAAAAAGTTCCTTGTCTAACTTATGTAACCAGAATTATGTTTTGTGTGTTATTGCCTTATTCTATAGTTATTATCACAAAATAACTCAGAATAAGGAGATGTAACTACTGCTGGTGGTGATATGGTTGATACAGAGCATAGTCTTTGAAATACTAAGTAGTTTTATGGCAATAAACCTCAAAGGATACTCAGGATTCTCTAGCTTAAAAATTTTAAATAAGCAACTCTGGGGAAAGGAAGAGGTATTTTTTTTGTTTTGATTTTTTTTGAGGGATGGTGATGGTGGTAGTACTGGGGATTGAACCTAGGGCCTCTGCACTGAGCTACAATCTCAGCCTCCCTTCCCTTCTTTAAAAATATTTTTATTTAAAAAAAAAAAAGAAGGATGGGCATGGTGGCACACACCTGTAATCCCAGCACTTGGGAGGCTGAGGCAGGAGGATTGCCAGGAATTTGAGGCCAGCCTGGGATACACAGTGAGTTCAAGTCCAGCCTGAACTACATAGTGAGACCCTGCCTCAAAAAAAAATTTTTTTTTTAAAATTTTGAGACAAGGCCTTGCTAGGTCACAAAGTTGCCCAGGCTGGGTGCCATCTTCCTGCCTCAGCTTCCCAGAGTGCTATAAAGTAAGTTTATTTCTTTTTTTTTTTTTTTTGGTACTGGGGATCGAACTCAGAGACCTTGCACTTGCGAGGCAGGAGGCAGCACTACTGAGATAAATCCCCGGCCCGAGTAAACTTGTTTGTAAAAATTAGGAAAAAAACAAAACAAAAGAAAAACCTAAAAGAAAAAATTAAGAAAAGAAGTATTGTGAAGCATACCTGAAATAATTTTAGGAGTTTGGATTTCCACAAAACTTTTGTTAATTAAAGTTTCTCGGAAGAGATAGCAGATGCCAGACTGGAGACGGAAGATTGCCTGACTAGTTGATGTCTATAAGACAATAACAAAATCTAATTAAATAAATTTGATACATTTATTGAGCACTTCCATGTGTGCTCAGCTCTGCTGGAAATCTAAAGGTAAATAAAATTATTGCTCTCAACATTTTTAAAGTCTAACACTGCAACAGAGAAGAAGACAAAAGCACACAAACAAGGCAAAAGGTGATGAAGGAATGTTGGAATGTAATGGCTATACAATACATGATAAAGCTATTCTCACAACAAAAGTTCAGTGAACAGATGTTTTAATTTGTAAGCATTCCATAAAAGAAAAATATTTCTTAACAAATTAATGAAACACCTTACTTGTGAATTTTTAAAAGGGCAACCTACTGAGATGTACCAATATTTGTGCAGCATACAAATGTGCTCCAAATGAAAGAATTTAGCATTTAATAATAAATGAATAAAGCTGCCATGCACTGAATCATTATTATTATCAATAATACATTAATTGCAGACAGTCATGGGTTTGTTCCAATTAAGAAATTAAGAAAAAAACAATAAAGGGGGTAGGCATCCTATGACACTGATTCCCCAAATGGTACATAAAGCAATTAAATGTAGTACTCTGTCACTTCTTCTTTCTATTTTTTCCTCCCCTTTTCCTCAGCTGCGGTAGCTTCCCTGCTCAGGTTCAGTCCACTCTAATAGTGGCCAAAAGAGTCTAGAGGTAATTATCTTAAGAACTGGTTTCTTATCTGTAGGTCTTGCCCATATATATATCCTATGACTAGATAGGTGTTGTGGATAGCTGAGTTAGTAGCCAGCAATTTCAATGACTTGCCCCACATCAAACGGCTTGCTCCTGACTTGGTGCACACAGCATTCTGAATTTGGACAGTAGTGCCTTTTGAAAGCACTATTAATGATGGCTATTTTTCATTTCTTTCACTGTAAAGAATACTATCTAATAATCTTGAATTTCTGGAGATCTGGGCTAAATAAATTTATATAAACCAGGACATATTTAAGTGATATTATTTCATAATTTAAACTCAAGTTCAAGATGCAAATAATTCAAATTCAATATGTAAATCAATAATTCCTCACAAAGTAATTGGGATCACATAAAAGACCTATATAATTTGTTAGACTGTTTATTTACTCATTTTGAGTACATCTACATTTAAACTAGAGAGAAAAACTTGTGGCTTAAAAAAAAATTATGTGGTTTTAGGGAAACATTTGATTCATCTAATCACAATAAATAATATATTTTTTAAAACCTAGCCAACTATTTAAAACCAAAAGCTGTTTCACCATTACTGATATGCATACAGAGACATATGTCTCACTAAAGTTCTTTAGGAGTGTAGGTAGTTTGGGGTGGTGGTGGGGGTGCTGGAAAAAAATTTAAAGTAATTAGCTAGGCAATGAATTAGAAAAAAAGCACTTGATACTATCCATACATTAACCCACAAGGCTCAAAATGGGCTACATTACTAATAATACAATGCTCAGATAGCCACTTTCTTAACTATTCCCTTCATATACATGCACATACAGAAAGGACTATGCTATGGAAAAGTACAGTATGTGCTACCGTTGTAGTATGGTTTCAGAGATAATGTGGTTTCACACTAATGAGGGTAATGTGATACACTGGTGAAGGAAGGGAACTTTAGAAGAGCCATGGGGTTTCTTAAGGGTTAGGTTGCCTCTGAGTTCTGAATTGAGCCACTCCTTTCGGCATGTCAAAACAAGTGGCAAGAAATACAATATACCTTTTAAAATGGCTCAGTCTCTATATTCATTTGGCAATACAAGGAATGAAATGATTATGACAGTCTTGTCTCCTGAATAAAATTAATCTTTGAAAGTAAGCAATATATACTTCACAGTGTTTATATAGAATGAAATCTGCAATTATGAATATGAGAATATTTTGTAGATTAACTGGCTTTAGTACAGGGGGTGTACATAAAGAAACAGATTATAGGGGCCGGGGATTTAGCTCAGTGGTTTCACCACCTGCCTCACAAGTGCAAGGTCCCGAGTTCGATCCTGGTACCCCCCACCCCAAAATTGTAGTTTTGAACCCACTAAAGCAATCCATTCCTATCTGATGAAAGTATTTAAAGAATGATTTTCTAAGGAAAAAATAAGTATCTGCTACTTTGACAACGTTGAGCTGTCCCTAAGAGTGGAGAGAAAGAAGAGAGTAATTATGATCTAAATGTAATTCACCTGATCGTATTCCCAGAAAACCCTCACAGCAACCCAGAATATAAACCAGGTGAGTGCTCCATACCAAAAAAACTTACAAGATAAAGTCATTTAATTCAGGCTTTGCCAGGAATGAAAATTGCTTTAACATTTTAACATTCTTGGGGCCAGGTGAAGTAGTTTTTTTTCCTGGTACTGGGGATCAAACTCAGGACCTTGCGCTTGGCTAGGCAGGCACAGTGCCACTAAGCTAAATCCCTGGCCCTGAAGTATTTTTAACTGGGCCATCTGTCTAGAAACTTCATAGAGAAAATCATTCATTATATAAGAGAAATGTTAGGCTACACTGGAATATGAAGAAGTATCATGGAATATTTCATATTTTAGGAAAAAAGCAATTTTGCCTTTTACCTCCAACTTCTCCAATCTTGATTTTGCAAAACTGGGAAGAATGAACAGCTGTTTTTGTAAACTAAGTTACTTACAGGACTTAAAGCTACTAGTATGTACAATGCTTGCCAAACTAGGGGTTTAAAAATGAAAGTGCTTGTAAGGACCATACAAATACCATGAAAGAATGATACTTCCTGGGTGGTGCAGGACAAGCAAAGGATACATGCCCCATCTAGCATGTGGGCCCAGGACTGCCATACTCTCTTTTAGCTTTTCTAGAAAAATGTGACCCCTCCCCTTTAAAGTTGGTTTCCCCCTATGGGGCCCATGATGGTCTTGGAACTCCTGGGCTCAAGTGATCCTCTTGATTTGGCCTCTGGAATAGCTGAGACTACAGATGTGCATCACTGCACCCAGGAAAACTCCCATTTTTCAATGGTGGCAATGAATTTAAATTAAAACAATTACAGTCACCAAAAACAATCCCAAACTCTGGGCTAAATTCTAGCAGCACAAACCAGTAACAACTATGTGAACAAACAGCATGGGTAAATACAGTATGATACCTAACTCCTGTGGCCAAAACATATGAAAAACTCGAGGTTTCCAGGCAACAGCAAAACTTTTTATTAGTGTTCACTTTTTCTATATAAATTAAAATGGAGAAGGTAAAAGCAAACAACAAATAATGACTAAAACTGAGTGCATTATAGGGCAGACTTACATAACTGCAGAAGAGTTGGAAAGAATTCTTAAGATAACAAAGAATTTGAACATCAGGTAGAACATTTAAATAGAGGAGGAAGATGTGGTCAAACATTAAGAAAGAAAGATGACACTGGCTTTACTGTAGTGATGAAACCACTGAGTCTTTCACTTGCAACCAAACCGAAAGGGAAATAGAAGACCCATGAGATTACTACATAAACCACCAGGAACAACTACATCTTTTTATAAATTCTCTGTTCAGATCAAATTAAAAGAATTGAGGCATTAATTACTCATCTGCACCTGTCTGTTCTGAAATGTGGATATAATTTCTTTTTTTTTGAGAAAGGGTCTCACCATGCAGTTGAGGATGGCCTGAACTCACTATGTAGCGCAGGCTGGCCTCAAACTTGTAGTGATCCTCCTGCCTCAGCCTCCCAGTGCTAGGATTACAGGCATGTGTCACCATGCTCGGCTGTTTCACAATTTTGTAGTGATGTGAAGTGTTACATTTCCACTTGCTGACTAAACAGTGTCCAAAACATGTATCACCTGGAATGAACCCATACAATGGCTTTATGATCATCTGTCTTTTTTTTTTTTTTTTTGGTACCAGGGATCGAACTCAGGTCCTTGCGCTTGCGCAGCAGGCGGCGAAACCACTGAGCTAAATCCCAGGCCCAATCATCTGTCTCTCTGAAACAAAGTGAATCAATATTTTGTAAACTAGTACTTGACTGTTTTGGTTTCTAGCAATTCTTTTTAGAGGATGGGTCAGTCAGAAAAGTAAACTGTTTCTTGTATTTTATACTTAAATACAGGCAAATGCCAATTAGCTTTATGGTATCCCTGCCCATCTCAATGTTGGCATAACCACATCACTTAATAATAAATGAAGCATACCCTAAGATCAATGACTCTGTTGTCTAATCTTGTATCTTGGTTAACTGTAGCTCTTCCTTCCTAAAAGAAAAAAGATTGAAAAAAAGGGGAGATTTTACAAATTTTTTGATGAACACAAGAAATACTACTACTTAAAAGTAAAGCTATGTTTACTTTTAAGCAAGACTGGGTATGTGTATATAATATTATGCAAAAAAAAAATCAGGGATTCAAAATAATGGTAGAAACAGGGTCAGGGCCAAAAAGTAGCATTAAAAAAGAAACAAAAAGAAATGAGAATGAACAGATGCTAATGCTTTCTTTCCCTCCCCTACTCCCCAAAGCCTTATCTCATTACTGGGACACATCAGAAGAATTAACCATATGAACCATTATTGATTCACGTATTTAACCTGTTAGCCCCAGCCTAACTAAGAGATAAAAGCTGACAGAGTAGTGGTTATTAAAAGTGTGGTAAGGAACCACTGAAGGTTCCTGAGAGTCAGTGAATCCATGAAGTCAAACTTATTTTTCACAATAACATTTTTCACCCATTCTTCATGAATGTACTGGGGACATTTTCTAAAGGCAGTATGATGGGTACCATCACAATAGAGCAAATTCAGAGGCAGTAAGAGAATCTAGTTGGTGCATATTAAGCCAGACACTATGAAGATTTGTACATTAACACAAAGTCATTCTTTTTTTTTTTTTATACTGGGAATCGAACTCAGGACCACTGGGCTAAATCCCCGGGTCCCACAAAGTCATTCTTTTTTTTTTTTTTCCATTAAGTTTATTGGTACATTTTAGGTATACAATACAGTTATATTCATCATTGGGATCTTGTACCTTTACATGATGCATCTTGGTTCTTGTTTTTTACCCCATTCCCCTGCCCTCCCTTCACCCCCTCCACCCTTCCCTATTTACAAAGACTCACAAAGTCATTCTTGACAGTAAATTATTTTTTGTTTTGTATAGTATAAAATGTTATTATATAAAATCATACATTTATATTAATACATTGATATTTTAAAATTTGTTTTACCTCCTATTTCTATAGTGATAGCCAGCGAAACAAATGTTGGGGGGGGGCGGTGTCTTCAGTTATTTTTAAGTGTATAAAGAGATCTTGAGACCAGTAAGTCTGAAAATTATACTTACTTTCTTTCTTTCTTTTTTTTTTTGGGTACCAGAGATCAAACTCAGGACTTGTGCTTGCAAGGCAGGTGGCGGAACCACTGAGTTAAATCCCCAGCGCTAGTAAGTCTGAAAATTGCTCATGTAAATCACTATTTATTTATTAGTGCTGGGGGTGGAACCCAGGGCCTTGTATGTGCTAGGCAAGTGCTCTACCACTAAGTTACATACCTGCTCCCTACAAAAGTAAATTTAAATAAAAATGGGTTCAAAGCAATTCACAGACACTCAGTATAGAAGCAGGATACCAGGTTTTTAATATTGTGTAAGACATATAGCAAAAGGGTATTTCATAAATATAAATTTTACCTCTTCTCCTTCCACCTCAGGTCGAACAGCATCATCCAGCTGTAGGGGCAGGCGGGGTTCAGCCAAACTAATGACATAAATCTGAAAGTGAGAAATTTCCAAAATAGGAGAAAGCACACAAAGCCTGATTATCTTTTAAAAGCTTAAAAAAAAAACCACATTAATCAATATTTGCATATACTTTCAACTGATACTACTTGCTGAAATCATATAGGCTGATATATACTTTTCACCTACAAAATGGGGATCATAATATTTTTATAAATAAGCTCTGGATAGGAAATCTATCTCAGAGCTCTAGTTATAAGGAGGTCTGTTGTATGAAATCAAACCCTTATGAGATAAGTTGCTGTTATTGCTAGCACCATTTGGCTAATGCTATCCCTAGGACCAAATTCAGTCCATCTCTGCTACATCTCTCTTCCCTTTTCTTATTCTTTCTTTTTCAAAGTACCCTTTATTGTCTCTCTCTCTCTTTTTTCTTTTTTTGAGGCAGGGTCTCCCTTTGTAGTTCAGGCTGGCCCTGAACTCACTATGTAGCCCAGGCTGGCCTCAAACTTGAAGCGATCCTCCTGCCTCAGCCTCCGGAGTGCTGGGATCACAGGTGTGCCCCACCACACCCTGCTCCCTTTATTGTCTCTTATCATCAAACATGTTGCATCTCATTTCCTGCTGCTCTCCTGGTTGGGAGCTGCTACAGAGGATGTTCATTTACATTGTTAAAATTCCTCAACGTTCACTGACACTAACTTCACATTTTGATAAAAAGCAATTAGGGGGATGCTGCTTGCCTCGCAAGCACAAGGTCGAGAGTTAGATACCTGGTATCAAAAAAAAAAAAAAAAAAAGATTTTGTCAGTACTTCTTCCTCATCTTAAATTGTAAGGTTCCCTTTGATAACATGATCTTCAATCCAAAGTTGGAGAACAGACAAACTACTTCTATTTTTATAGCTAGTGGAAATTTATCATTTCCTTTATCAGGTTGTCTTTTGATCCCCAGAACTTCACATAGTGTTTGGAACAAAGTATATATAATCAGTAACTGTTTTGGCATAAATAAATGAATGAAAAAGGAGTCATTGCTGATAAGATTCTAATTAGTCTACAATATATTATGTTTGTGAAATACATTTTAACTATTTTTATTTGGGCACAACTTGTCTGTAAGCTCCTTAGGTTTCATGCTTATTAACACTTATTAAGATTGGTTCTATTTGTTAGATTGTAAGAGTACTTTTTTTTTAAGCTGATGGGAATTGAACTCAGGGCTTTCAGCATGCTAGATAAGTGCTTTACTACTGAGTTATATATCTCCACTCCAATAAGACTATCTTAAAAGTATATTTGTTTGCTTTAGTCACTAAAATTTTCCATATTAAAGTACTAAAAAGATACGTGGAAGATGGGGAGAGGGGCCTCTTTCTTGACCAGCATAAATAGACTTCTTTATTAGGTTAAGACTTCCTGATGGAGTTGATTCAAAGTAAGACTTAAATAAAGAACAAAGTAATTTGTCAATTTGGGTTGGTAAAAATACAAGATTTTCTATGGCTGGAAGAGTTCCACGATAATCAATTCCTATTAAATATAATCTTGCTCCCAAGTTAGTATGTATATGGTAATCTCAGTGAATCTATCTGCCTATCAGTCTGCCTCTCTTATGCACATTCATGCTTACACACACACACACACACACACACACACACACACACGCACAGTTTAGGGTGGGACAAAGCCACTCTTTTTTTTTTTTTTTGGTACTGGGGATTGAACTCGGGACCTTGTGCTTGCGAGGCAGTCGGCGGAACCACTGAGCTAAATCCCCGGCCCAAAGCCACCCTGTTTTGAAGAATACTTCTTAAGAGAAATTTAATGATGCATATTGTAGACACGGTATGAATCTGAGAGCTTTAGGTTGCAGGGTTATTTCAATAGCAGTAAATATGTGTGAATTTACTCAAGGCATTTTAAGTCAATGATAGTGAATACTTTCAGTTTTCATGTCCTAGAAAAGATGAGGGATAAATCTTGCACACTTGTGCGCGCACATACACACACACACATATGCACATGTGCATACACAGTTACTACTGGGATGTGAGACCAATATGAGATTGTCTCTTTTGACTTCTCTATGCTGTAAAAATATTGGAATATAATCGAGCTTTGTCAGTATAGCAGAAAAAGACAATTCATAAAAACAAGACAAATTTTTAACAGTGAATAAGGTTTTTAGGTGTGCTTTACATCCTTCCCTATATGACTATGGCTACAATAATTCCTCCTGTTCCCATATGTATGGCCCTTAGCAATGATATTGCCTTTCTTCCCATCAAGGGCTAGAATCTATTTCTCTATCCCTTAAATCTAAGTTTTGGCATGTGACTTTGACCAACAGAACATGTAGCAACTCTAATTCAAGCAGAAGCTTAAAAAGTGCTTGTGCTCAGGGGTTTCCTCACTTGCCTCTGGGAACCATCCTGGAACTGTATTAACATGTGTAGGCTGGGTGCTGGATAAGGAGAGGCCACAGGAAGAGATGCCCCAGGCACATCAGTGAACCCAATCAATGCCATGTGTAACAGACCTAGATAGCTCACAGAATCAGGAGCAAACAAATGTCTGTCATTTTAAGGCACTAAATTTTTTTTTTTTTTTTGTACCAGGGATTGAACTCGTGTCCTTGTGCTTGTGAGGCAGGCGGCAGAACCACTGAGCTAAATCCCCGGCCCTGGCACTAAATATTGAAGTAACGTGTTATATAACAAAAGCTAATTGATTCAGTAATCATCTTATAAATGTCAACATTTTACATGAACTTGATTAACAACATATAGATTTGATGTAAAAAGTTCTAAGAACCACTCAATTCTTACACACAATTATCATATTTCTAAACACAATTTTACATACACATCTTTTTTCTTTTAGGTTGGAGATCAAACCTAGGGCCTTGTGCATGCTAGGCAAGCATTCTACTGCTGAGTTATATCCCTAACCCTTACAATATTATATTTCTAAACATTACCTTCTGAACATGTAATTCAACATCTTGCTGTGTACAGCTTCCAATTTTCTGATTCGCTTTTCTCACAACACCTTCTACATCTACGATGCTTTCTTTGTTGATACTGTCAAGAGAAAAAAACCCCCAATTTCAACCATCTCATTAGAAGTGTCAATTCATTTGGCTTTTAAGCAGTCAGGTTGACTATATTACTGTTTTTGTTTTTTTTTTTAAAAAACAGCAGCTATTTGAGATAAAGCCAGTCTATTTAACCTACTACAATAAGCTATTATATAGCATATCTTGTGAGGTTCCTCCAAGAGATGATTTTTTTTTTTTTTTTTTTTTGGTACCGGGGATTGAACTCAGGACCTTGCACTTTCAAGGCAGGCACCAGAACCACTGAGCTAAATCCCTGGCCCCAAGAGATGATTTTTTAGATAACGTAATTTAGTTACCATTTATAAGATACTCTGGGCATAAAAGGCAACAAGACTAACTGAATTGTGAAACGTAGTAAAAAGTCTTTCAATTATTTATTAAAGAACATTTTCCTCCTTATACTTGAGATTCACTAAGATCAGCATTTCCTATATTGAGAAACATAGGCTTCAATAAATGCAATTACTAGTATGTAATGGAATTAAATAATAGAAGGTCAACTGAAAAGATTTCAAGATAATAAGAGGACATTAGGGTGCTGTTTTGCAACTAAATCTTCACTGCCTATAGTTTCTGAATATACTTTGTCACTGGATTTATGACAGCCTACATGTGTGTTCCCACTTAAACGAAGGCCTCCATGACAATATATTATGAATGTAAAATAAATGCATTTCTGGGCAGTTTATTCTTTTAACTATTTATTAACAAACTTCAATTTTGAATGTCAGACATTCAAATTTTGAAATACAAGACTAAGTTGTTTATTAAACACTTGATTTTTAAAATTTCTAATACATAACCAAGAAAGAAAATGTCGGGCCGGCGATTTAGCTCAGTGGTTTCGCCGCCTGCTGTGCAAGCACAAGAACCTGAGTTCGATCCCAGGTACCAAAAAAAAGAAAACAAAGAAAGAAAATGTCTATCTGAAATAGTGATTTCCATAAAAAATGTACTAGTTTTACTTTTGTGTATGTTCTTATACTAACAAAATGTGTCACAATATATTTGGTGAAAAGGGTAAGACTTAACTTTCATGAAAAAATTCAATTCATTTTGATGAGGAATTGGAATTTTAGTAGATTTTCCAGAAACCCAACAGTGGTTATTTTATACAAGAGGACACCACAATCCATTTCAATGAATATTTGCTCAGGGTTGTAAAGGGATCAAAATGATCAAAATATGTAAAGAATGCTAAAGAAAGAACAAATATTTTCACTCCACTTTGCTACACTGCCTAGAATTCTATGTAACCGATTGCCTTTTATAAAAATTCAATAGTAAACCCCCCCAAAATAACAACAAACAATAAATAAAAGTATATATCTGAAGTATAAATCTAAAAAATAGTACACATATCTCTTACAATTCAAGTCTCCTACACTGGAGCAAAAATTTTGTGCATTGAAGACACTCATAATATATTATGGTAAAAGTGGCTGACAAACCAACATAAGGCTTTTCTGAGACCCGAAGAGATCAAGAGGCTTCAGTTTACTGTTAAAAGGGCTTTCTGATACCGGAAACCCAGTGTCACTGGATCTGTCTTCAATGTGACTGTCATCTACTAGTTGCCTAATCTGTTTGCATGAGTATACACGCTATTGTGTGAGAATTCCATTACTTGTTTCACACCATTCCGTGAAAAAGGTTTTTTCCTCCTCACTAATTGGTACAGTGCTGCTTGAAGTAACCTGCCTTGCCCCTGCTAGAGCTCTATCTGGCTACCTTTACACTCTGTCCCCAACCCTCTCTGTTACCTTACCCCTTTTTGCTCGCCTGTAGAAGGCACCTGATGGTCCTTTGGACCTTCCATTGCCATAGTCTTCTTTAAGACTCTCAAGTTAAATATATTTACTCTTAAGGATTGTGTTGTATTGAGTTTCCTTCCGAAAATAGCTGAAATGTGGTCACAGACAGGGTTGCTTGGAAATCCAATGAACAAAAAAAAAATTCTCTTTCAAAAGTACCAAATGACTCCTTTTAAAAAAAACCTTGAATAATTTAGTTCTAATATTCCATACACCTAAATGTATGTATCTATTCCTGTCTAGTTGTAGAAATAAGTGGATTTAGAAGAAAAAACATTAAAACAACAACAAAAGTCAGATTTGTAGAAAAAAGGTCAGACTAAAATTTGTAACTACAACCAGTAAAAGGCTATACGGGGTTTAGGCGAATTTGTGTGTGTACATACGTACATACATATATATAATCAGAGTCAAAACAAGGACAGGAATTCAATCCCTGGTACAAAAAACCCCCAAAAAACAAAAAACAACAAGGATAGGAATGCTTGAGTGTGTTTCTGCCAACAGAAGGATAAAATTCCACCTTGATTTTGAAGTTTAGTTAATATAATTTAAACTGACTTGGTATGTGAAGAGGCACTATACTCTGTGTTATAGCTTAACTGCTATCACAGGTTATTCAGGTTTGAGTTTTACCTTTTGAAGTTAATATGCCACTATGTCCATATTTTGAAAAGGGTTGTACCTAACAAACAACTAAAGCCTTGTGTTTTTACAGAGAACATGGCAGGGGAAAAATCCATGGTGGAAAGCAAAGAGCTCCTGGGAACTATTTCACTGAAGGAGAAAAGGATGAAGTAAATTATACATCTTTTTAAGAACCAAGTCAGCTATTTTTATAATTACCAGTCCCTCTCACAAAACACTCCATTACTGCATTGTGTTTGTCTTCTACTTTCCAACCACCCTCTGATTCTACATATAATTAATCACTCAAGAAAAAAGATAAATTAGTATAGCTTTGATATTAAAATATTTTGGGTAGCAGGCACAACAAATCTCGTGTCATCCATTAGAAAGTGACAACCTTCATTTAATCATTTAATAGTTTAGTTCTAACTAAACAATACAATAAAATAGTTAAAAGTATTTATGTAAAGCATTTTATAAAAATATTTTGAGTTGATAATCAAGTTTTTAAAAATAAAAAATGGCTAACAAACATGCAACCTGGGGAAAAAACAAACAGTACCCAGTTATCTGAAGGAAAAGAATTTCTTCTTTTCAATACCATTGACATAAACTTTACTCACTAACAACTCTGGGAACTTTCCCTTTAGGTATAGTTCTATCAATGTTGATGATTGGTTTTCATATCACATAAGAAGTAAAACTAGCCAGGCATGGTGGTACACACCTGTAATTTCAGCATTTGGGAGGCTAAGCTAGGAGGATCACTGTAGTGAATTCAAGGCCAGTCTGAATTACATAGTGAGACCATGTCTCAAAAGAAAAACAAAAACAAAGATGTAAGAAATTAAAAAAAAAAAGTCTGGTGGAACTATTAAAAGTGAGAAGGGTCGGGGATTTAGCTCAGTGGTTCAGCCGTCTGCCTCACAAGCTCAAGGTCCCAAGTTCAATCCCCAATACCAAAAAAAAAAAATGAGGATAACTATTGGATTAAATAACAACTAACTGCTGAAGGAGAAAAAAAATATATAAATTCACACAGATATACAAACCCAAAACAGGAAAGAGACAGTGCCACAACCTAGCACAGTAATAGATGTTCATGATGAACATATGCCAACTAAGTTAAAAAGGAAGAATGTGTAAAACAGACTTCAAACATTCTGTTAAAATGGTCAAAATATTGGTTTCGCCACCTGCTGCTCAAGCACAAGGACCCGAGTTCAATCCCTGGTACCAAAAAAAAAAAAAGAAAAAAGGTAAAAATAGTTGTAGTCAGTGAAGAAGATAAGTTTATAGTAAAAAATAATTTACTAATGAGAAATGCCTTGTTCTCTGATGTTGCCAATTTTTTTTAAAGTTCTCAGCCTATCTCTGTAATACACTGAAACATTAGTCTCATGTCTTCATTTGTTATGATAGTAGTATTCATTCACACTTTTGCTATGGCTTCAAGAGAGGAAGTACTTCTCTGTCCCTTGACATGTGACTTGCCACTGCATGGTTATGGTATCCTTGCCAAAAGTCAAATATATCTCTGGGTGTGGTGGCACATGCCTATAGTCCCAGCACTCAGGAGGCTGAGGAAGGACTGCCTGGAGTTTGAACGGGTTCACATAGTGAGTTCCAGGCCAGCCTGAACTACACAGCAAGACCCTGTCTCAAACAAAAGAAAACAAAAAACCAAAAAACCCCCAAATATATCCAAGGGCTTGTATGTTTGGGCTCTCTATTCTGTACCATTGGTTTGTACATGTGTCCTTATCTTTCACGACTGTGACAGTTAGGCTTAATCACCAATTTAATTGGCTGCATAGGAAATTAGTAAAGCACACTTGTGGGTATTTGGGTGTCATGGTGGTATGGTCTTAAGGTCTATATCTAGGTCCCCGTGCCCCCACCCCACATTCTTCTCCTGTTCTGTTTCCTGGACTTCATGAAGAAAGCATTTTTTTTTTTTTGGTACTGGGGATCGAACTCGGGTCCTTGTACTTGCAAGTGAGGCAGCGGAACCACCGAGCTAAATCCCCAGCCCGAAAGCATTTTTTTTTTGATATTTTTTAACTTGACAACTTGTCAGAACATATTAGACTATCATTTTAAAAAATCTCAAAAATACAGCAGATAAAAAGATCTTTGTGTGAGAAGTGTCAGCATTAATATTTTCCTGTTTGTGGTTTTATTTTTAGTTTTATTTTCAATCTGTGGTTTCTTTGTAGAAATCCTTTTAAATTACTCGTCTATCTTCTGTGGGTCAGTTTATTCAAATATAATGCCAGTTAGGCCAGGGATTTAGCTCAGTGGTTCCAGTGCCTGCTGCACAAGCGCAAGGTACCGAGTTCGATCTCCAGTACCAGAAAAAACAAAAAACCCCAAATATAATGCCAGTTATAAAACCATTTAACTAGGCACAGTAAACTGAAATTGGTTACCAGACACTGACGTGAACCAAAGAGTAAGGGTACCAATATTAGCTCCTTTTCATTAATGCAACGCCACAATCAACCTTCCTTCAGAA